TCCTGCAGGGCGGGCCAGTCCTATATAGTGCTGGCCCGTCCAGGAGGCTGCTCTTGCCAATGCCGAAACGTGCCAGACCCTGGCGTTGAAGCTCAACCAGGGGTTGTCTTGAAAACAGGCCCGAAATGGCCTGTGCTAAAACCCTGGTTTGTTGCCTGAGTTTCAGGGCAGGTCGAACCGATGAGGGCCCGTAAATGGCCCTCAGTTTCAGGCTGAAAACGCTCAGGGCCGGAAAGGCCCTGATTTAGCCTGAAACGACACAGGGCCTGTAGGCCCTTGTTTTCAGGCTTTCAGGCTGAAACGACACAGGGCTTGTAGGCCCTTGTTTTCAGGATTTTGGCCTGAAAACGTCACGGGCCTGGAAATGGCCCGTGCAGCCTGTTGCAGGCACAGCATGTAACACGGTCAAAGGTAGGTAACAGGTAAGTCGTCTCTCTCTCGCTCTCGCCTCTTGCAGCTAGCGCTATGCGTAGCGCTCTGCCTGGAGCTATGCTAATCCCAAAATAGCGCAGTGCTGCTCCTCAAGGCCGCGGCCTCAAAGTCTGTCCCGAACAGACCGCTGCCCGGTACTAACTACCTGCGGTGGCCTGTTCGGCCTGGCTACTGAGGAAGTCGCGCTGTGATCTGAACCGTCGAAACCAATTGGTGGTTCAGATCGGACCCGCGGGGAAGTGGCAGCCTCAAAACTTCCGCCGCCAGGCTCAAACGAAACACGTTTGAGCCGGTTTCCCACTCAGGGCCTGCAGTAGCAGACCCGGGGCTGAAACCAGTTGCTGGGGCTACCGTAGGCCTTTCCGAAGGTCCGGCCTTTAACCCTGGCCGGACTGGCACACCATGGCCACGATCTGGGATAACCCCCTAGACCTAGCCGTCGGGCCTAACAGGGCCCGTGCGGAATCCAGTATGTAACATGGCGTGACGAAATTGATATTGCTCAGGAATGTGGAAGGATGTGCTGTTTGGCCTGTCTTGTTTTTTTGGTCAGTTCAGGTTGGTTGCTCTGTTTGTCTGTTTGTTTAGTTACTGAAAGGTTGTGAGAAATTGCAGGTAGCGACCAAGAAATTGAAACTGGCATTATATATAAATAATTCAGCGGTAATGCCCCAGTAGCTCATTTTTGTATTATGATAAGGGACGCCGGGCCCGGTTTCCAGCCGTGTTGCTCCCCACGAATAGATTGGAGCATCGTCTTCAAAAAAAAAAAAAAAAGGTAGATGACCAGAGAGCATTTGGAGGAATCGGAGCTGGCAATGCAGGAGAAGAGGGACGCATTTGCTGTGTGTTGATGCTCTTTGCTTTGATTGTGATCTCTATCTCGGAAGAGCTTGCTGCAAAGGAGGAACAAGAAATGCAGGCGAAGAAGGAGGAGATCAGGAGTGACATTCGAAGATTGGATGATGGATCCAACCAAATCAAACAACAAATGAAGGCAACTCAAGATCAGCTGGCAGGTGTTAATAGACAGAGGGTAGGTAGGTGACTGTCGGGCGATGGACTGAGGCCATTGTTTGGAATGTTCCAAAACATCACCTCTCAGATGCTACAGTGAAGCTTGTCTTTTTGTACATGATTCGTGATTTGTAGTGACCTTCCAACGGACCACGTGTTGTGCCTGATAAGACACGGTGATCTTTGTTCCATGCTGAAGTATGACATAAACTCATGTACTTCCATTCCATATGTGCATTATGAGGTTGATTTGTTCAGGAGTGCATGGGAAGCATTTTCAAAAGGGTGGTAATTCCTAAAAAATGAAAAATGTTTTTTTTTTTTTTTTTGTTTGTGAGAGAGAGAGAGAGAGAGAGAGAGACTACCAACTGCTGTTTGTGATTAAGCTGAACAAGGAGTACAGTGCATTATTTGATGTGAACCAGTATTGAATGCCCATCTTGACAGATGAACTGAAAAGTGCCTGAATGCTACAAACCTGTCGGGATAATTTTACCAAATGAGTGAAATTTCAACGTGTGGAAGAGAGGTGATGATATGTCTGTTGTAGCCCAATCGCGAAAGAAGAATGGGAATCTGATTGCTGCGAGGCTGGAATTGGACTGTTGTACTGGAACTGCTCATCTTTGGCCATTCCACACCCAAATCTTCATGACGTCAGGCTGATAACTCATGTAGTGTGATGGGGGAGGGTCCAGACGGTATGGAAAATAAGCTTTAAACATGTGAGAAGTATGCACTGAAAACTGGTAAAATGTTCGGTCTGCGAAACAGGAAGTTTTGTACGAGGAAACAAACAGTCAGAAGCGGCGTCAGCGAATGATGGAAGTTCAGATAGGTATGTTTCCTCCAAGATGACAGCCCACACCTTATCACTTTCGTTTTTGGGTTCGTTTTTAGGCTGATATGGAATCCATTGCCACCATCATCTGTATGCCTACACCTGCTTTGTCAAAAATTCTCTCTGAAATAAAGCTCCTTATGTCCGCATTGAAACAGTTTTCACCTTTGGCAGTAGCCGATGCAGATCCCAGGGGTTGATCCCTTGACCTCAGCTTACCTGTGTACAGTATCTGTACAGTTCCCTGGAGTTGAACCCGTGACCTGCACGATAGCCAGTGGTAAGTAGGTCACCGTAGGTTGTAGGCTGTAGG